AAGTTGCTTTAAGAGCGCGTTGTAAATTAAAAACACCCCCGGATCCATCATACATTACACCGCCATTCAGGCGCGTCTTGATCAAGCAGTGCACTACGATGCGACAGCTTTCTTTGTTCAGAGGAGCAGGTCAATTGCAGCGCGTCTCGCCGGGGGCGCTTTCTCTCCCGTCAACGCATCGGACAACGGAAGAGGGGGGGGCGAGGGAAGCGGCGGCGGAACAAAGGGGGAGAGAGGGCGGGCGTCCGCCCCCTTGGGCGTCGGGCTCGTCCCCGCGCGTCGGCCCCTCCGGCGTCGTCGCTGTTGCGTCGAACCGCCCGAACGACAGCGATACAACCGCTGTCACAGCACAGTGGTCCACGTCAGCAATTACGAAATAAAAGATTCAATGATGTCGACTGCGAAGGCAGTGAATTGGATTGTATGAGGTGCGCCTTTATTTTCGTTTGAGGCTTACGTAAAAAATTACTGACGCTAGGAACTAATTGTTTTCTGCATTTTGCAAGCGGGAAAGTTAGTGAGAGATAAGGGTCATTTTATACGTCGTGAACTGGACCTACTTTCAATCTCTCTTCAGTTTGGTATAAAAAATTCCTGATTTGTCAGTACAGTACCTAGCAGATAGAACATTCAATATATTCGTCAATCGGATTGGCATTTTAAATTACGACACGTCATCTTCCCATAGAGGGAGCCCCTTTCGGATAGAGCACACGAAATACGGCACTCCAATTTTGTTTTGAATCCAGTTATGAAACCTAAGTAAGACAAAGAAACTATCAGCAGTGAATAAACAGCGACCAGCCTCGTTATTTTACCTCAATTATAGCCCGGACGTTCGTTCTAATACAAATCAAGTGATGACGAACCTTAATAACACCGTGACCAAGTTCATTGCGCCCATTTCGCGCTGTAGTTTAACAGGCCGAGGCAGCGTTTGCCCGCGGAGAGCGGCGCTTCGGCCCAGTGGGCGCCCGGGCGGCGTCGGCGGTGGCGACGGGCCATGATGCGCTCAATTGGAGCGCTCTTGGGAGCGGCGCGCGCGGCGTGGAGGTCGCGCCGGCGCAATTAGCGGGGTCGCGACCCCCTCCGCCCGCTCCTCTCCCCCCTCCTCCCCGTCCACCGCCTGTCCGAAAGCCCGCGGAAACAACGACCCGGATCCGCAGAGCTGGACCTACGGGCGCCACGCCCCTTTTGGACTCCGGGTACGAGGAGGAAACACACGAATGTGCTACGGAATGATGGGTAGCGAGGGAGAGAGAGGAAGGAATCTGCAAGGTAAATGAAACAGAAGGCAACGAAAGAAAAGTCAATTGTAATTAGGAAAACAGGGCAAGGAACACTATAGTGGAAACAATTAGGACCAGGATGGCGAAGGCAATAAAACGAGAATCAATTACGATGAAAAGAACCAAATCAGACCAAGAAAGACAAACAATGAACTAAAACCTAAAGAACTAAAAAAATTAACAACAAACAGAAGCGAGATTAAAGGCACGGTAAAGGGTACGTAACTCCGTTAGAGATGACGGAATGACATCACTCTAATCTCTAACACTTTCAGATAAATTTATTTTATTTTCCATTTCATATAAATGTGCATTGTTTACAGATAATTGTATGGGTAGACATTATTCCAGTAGTGAGTACACAATCGTCCACGCTTTTATTATAAGCGGAACCAGCAGCATTGGGGAGGGGCTCGTTTCGTAAGGGAAGACAAGTTATTTAGAAATGAGGGATGGATTTAACAAATCAACTAATTTATTCGTAGCATATTAAATGTCAACTAATATCAATAACCCTTTCGAAGTAAGTGATATCTCCTCTATATTGATCATCTCGATAGCTCACTAGCGCACGTAAACACTATTGCTAGTACTCTTTTTTTTAAAAATTGGTGAAAATGGTTTATTATTGCTAACTATAGATGTTTGGAGAAGTACGTATTACATCGTAAGTTTATAAAATGTTTTTTATTTCCTTTTTTGTCGTGAATTACTTTTTAGAATTAATTTCTAACTTTTTAAATGCATTTACAATACCTAAATATCCTTTTCGGGGTAAAAATAAACGTCGTAGAGGGTGGTGGTCGTTTAATTGGTGATGCTTTCAAGGATATCATAGGATTTTTAATTATACTAATATCATTAACTATCGTATCACATACAAACCCTTATTTATTAGGAGACCCAGATAATTTTACCCCTGCTAACCCTTTAGTAACACCAGTCCACATTCATTTGGGTAAAAATCCTAAAAATGGAGGTAAGCATCCTAATGATATTAAATTGTATTTGATGAAAAATTTAATTACTGATGAATTCACTGCCTTGTCCGCCCGTCTTCCGAGCGTCCAGTCACCACCGGAGTCGTCACCGGCGGCGTCACCGCCGAGCAACGCTTCGCGCTGCGGAACCGTCAGCTGAACGAAGCGGTTGAAGGCGCTTCGAAAACGTCACGAAACGAGGCTTCGTTAAGGAAGGGCGGCGCGGGGCACCGTGGGGAGAAGGGGAGCGCGGCGTGCGCTCGGACGGAGAAGTGACAGTTCTTCGAATCCTCCTTCGTCGCCTCGCCATCTTCTCTAAAGGGATATCCCCTTAAAACTGCGAGCGCACGAGGCCGCGCGGCGACGCCGGGAAAACATGAGAGGAACAATGGGTCTCCAGGCTAACGGGGCTGGAGCGGGTGCTTTTGGATAAAAGAAAGCACGGAGGATGGACGAACGAGAAAGCGGGAAACTAATGGGCTAGCGAAGTAAATAAGAGCAGACGAGGGAAAACGAAAATGAATGGTAAGTACGAGGTAACAAAAAGTGTGAGGTGAGTATGTAAAGAAAAGAAGAAAAAAGGAAAAAAGCTAAATAACAGATATCCGCTATCAACATGACAGGAAACTCGTACACCAAAAAAGAGAATAAGCGGACCATAGAACATACGAGCGTATTTAATTGTTTCTAGTCCTATCAGAATAAATATATTTCATTTGACTAATATTTTTTTTCTACTTCGTGACAATACAAGTATGAAACGTTAGGCTTGAGATGTTAAGCATTAGAAAGCAACATCAGCAAGAAACAGAAGCATTTATTCAGCTACGAAAAGCAGGGGACTCGACCCTTTGACATTCGCAGTCAACCAATGCGTTTCCTGCGACGACAACCCCGGCCCATCGAAACATCAAGGGGACAAAACACGCGAGCTGCAGCAAATTGAAACGCACATTTCCTGCCCTCACACGCGGCAACCCAGACCTCCGGCCCTTCAGACAGTCGGCACTCCCCGTCAGAAGGTCCGTGAGCGCACATCAACGTCTGCGTACGGCACTAAACCAGAATTTACGCCGCCGGCGCTCGTTTCGGCGGCGCACCAAATAAAACGACGCCCGTAAACCTAAGTTACCTCTATCAATCAGGGCCCTCGGCTCTCGGATTACGAGGGATTCCTGCGTGGGATGGGGCGGCGCGACAAACCCTGCTCGCGCTCTGAGGGTTTCGCTCCATCTCGCACACACATAGCACAACTACAGCCCAGTTGTGTTCCTGGTTTGCTGTGCCTCCCAGTCTGCATCCTATGCTTCTACGTCATATTCTGGCGCTATCGGGACAAAGAGTCTTTATTACTATCACGACTACAACTATGGAATTTTCCCAGGTTTAGCGAAATTATTTTTCCCCAATCAAAGTTAGAAGGAGGAAGCTCTCACAAACAATGGTGATTAAAAGCATGTTATCAGGGCTTGAAAGACAAGATTCAATTTTTTGAAGGAAAACTGAAATGTCTTTAAAATACCTTGGCGATCTGTGAAAAATAACCACCCCTACAGTCGCAGTAAGAAAGCCAAAAGGTTACTATTGAAAATAGGGAAATCTCTATCAGATATTTCCTTTACATTTTTATGTATAAAATGAATGGCAACATTACATAGAATTGGTATATAAAACAGCATAAAAAGAGACGAACATCATCAATACATCTTTTTCGAGTAGCAACCAGTAAGAACGCTTCTGCTCCTACATTAACATGCTTGCAACGGTATTCGCGGAACAAACTTAGGCGCACCAGTAAAAGTCGCGGCGCGAGTGCTGCGGGAGGGCGATTTCTCGGCGGCGGGGCATGCACCGCGTCAGCGCAGGAACGTGCAATGCCGCACACGTGCTGACGAGGCGTTTTACGGCCGGGTGAGGGAGACTCAGCAATTGGGCAAGCTGTCGCCGGCTCCAAGCCCCTGCGCCTCGTAAAAATCGGTGACATTCCGCCACCATCGCCTCGTCCACGTAACCGTCCCCGTCGCCGTCGCCTACGTCGTCGCCGTCACCGTCACCTACGCCGTCGCCTACGCCGTCGCCGTCACCTACGCCGTCGCCTAGCGGTCGCCGTCGCCGTCACCTTTGCCGTCACCTTCGCCGTCGCCGTCACCTACGCCGTCTTTCTCTGTCTCCCTCCGCCCTCATCACCACCACCGTCACTGCTATCGCCTTCACACGTCACTACCGTCACCACAACCAATATATCACGTCGTCTACCAACTTCACCGCCACCGTCCCCTGCGGGGCAACCTTATCCCTACTACGCCCTGATGGCGCAGTGCATTAAGCCGATCTGCCGGCCGTGTGGGTGGCAGGTACACACATTTGTTTCTGCCCGAGGGGTATTTCCCCGCTCGTATCCTCGGAGTAATTAATGGAAACACAATCCACTCCAACCCGATTAAAATGGATCCAAATATGCCCTCCGTGTGTCAATTTCCCGCTTCTTCGCGTGTTCCAGCCAACGATAGTCACGCTTCGAAACATTCTCCGCGTTCCAGCCTACGTAATCACGGCAATATTTCAGAGAAAGCTTTGCGGATAGACATCCCGTAACCTCACCCATATCAATTACGCATAATAATCAATACGCGCGCAACATAAACCGCCTTCCATTACACTTCTCCTGGTTTTATGGGGAAGATGAGATGAGATCACGCGAACCATAACCTCCCCCAAGCAGTCCACCCACCTCATTTCTTTTCGCTTTTTTTCTTCTTCGTCTTCTTCCCCTCCTCCTCTACCTGGGCCGTAATTGCGGGGTAGGTCGCTTAATGAGCTAATGAGCAAGCCACGAGCGCCACTCGCCCGTAATCCATCTGGAGCCGCCGCCGTCGGTCGCCAGGGGCGCCAGCAGAGCTCGCCGCTGTGCCGCGGGCAACGCTCCCACGCGGAGATTCCATCGCCGCTGCAGACGCCGCCCCCGCCGCCGCCGCCGCCGCTTCCTCTTCCGCCGAAGAGTCTTCGATGCCTTGCGTAACACACAGCGGCTGCACGACGTATCCCGTCGAGGATTACGACACCGGCGGACCGCCCCGAAGGAGCAGAGGGCACACACGCGCACAACTTTTTCATCTGTGGTTTTTGTGATTTTTTTTTTTAATTACGTCGGAATTTTTTTTTCTACAATTTATTGTTACGGCGAGATGAAATGCGGGTTTTATAATTTAAGGCATTTTTAAATATGTGTGTGTTAATGAATTAATGCACTAAGGAGTGTCAATAAAATCTGGGAGAAATTATCTTGGAATATTTTTCAGGCAGAATTTGACTTTTACGTAGAAATTTCCTCGGCATCAATTTAGACGTTCAGTATCCAGTTTACTTATGCTTATTATGGGTGAATCACATGCAAAATGTAATGCTTGCGAGACTTAAATTGTTTGGTGTTTGAGTATAAGTGATAATTCCATATTTGGTTTTAATTTTGTAATATCTCTTGAAACTTTTACGTATAATTACAGATTTTGACCACACGTTTCTTCGAAAGTTGATTTCGATTGCTTTTGGGGATGGCCAAGGAACATGTTGATATAAGGCGAGAGAGGTGGAATTTGTACTAAAAATACGAGTGTACCGTTTATAATTATAGATTCTGAAAAGTTTCCTAATTACAAAAAATATTGCTTTTTTAATACCTTTGGAAGACGAAGTTTAGGTATTTTATACATCCAGGCACCCATTTGTCCAAGTCATATCAATTGTCTGATATTATCTAAGTGTGTAGCCGGTGTTGCAACCAAAGGAAAAACAATGAAGGGGAACAAAAATAAAATAAACACTTCTGAGCCCGCCCTAACATTCATCCTCAGACGTCAGATAATATCGTAACAGCAAACATCGATCTGGCCAGCCAAGGCCACGAACTTCGCGTCGTCACGAAATTGCAGCTAACCCCGACGTCCAGCCCAGCACGCTAACCACGAAGGCGCTGAATTCGTACACTTCAAGAAGTTCTGAATAGAACTGCAACCGCGACGAGAGGAAGAGGCAGTGGTGGCGGTTGAAGTGTACGCTACGGTTAAGATTGTTATGCTAGAGAAAGCGGCTGTTGCTATGGGGGTGATTGCGGATTCGGGGTAGAGATGAGACATCAACAAAGCATTCAAAACATAAACATAAACAAACATAACTAGTAGTAATACTTAGATCGCGTGCGTCCCTTAGGAGGATATTCAAAGCAGTTGGATGCTACCCTGTCAATTAGGAGGTGATATGATGAGAGACGATCGTGCCATTTTGCATTCGTCTGTGTGACTGAGGGAAACCACAAAAAACCTCGGGCACAATGGTGGATCGAACATGGACCTCTTGATTGCGAACTCAGCGCCCTACGCCTTAAATCACTTCGCTCAGAATGTCAATAATAAATCCAACCAAAATTATCGATGTTTTAAAACTACTTTGTAATACCTTCTAACATTAATGTTAGAGCGCGGAACGATTTATTTGTACAGTGGCCGTGTTTACAAACTTTTAATTACGATTTATAAGGCAAAACAAAGTAAAAAAAATAATTAGAATAGTTAACAAAACAGGGCCTAAAGCTTGAATGCTCAGGTCATCTCGTGTGGACTAGATCGCCTTCAGTTTGCTGTCTTGATAGATGCGGAAAGAAGGGATGTCCTATTGCATTTGCGTTGGCCGCCTACATGCGTGCGAAATACAGGGTAAGGCGTAAGAAATACGGATGCTTCGGGGCAGAGATAGTTTACTCGATGTAGGTAGTATAAACGACGTTCGCTTTGTTCGTACACATGAACTGGCAGAGGTATAGGAGTCTGGAATAGGAAAAGTTGCGACAAGGCCGATAGGACGAGTAGACCAACCTTACAAGCAAAATAAAATCACACGTTTCACACATTACTTTACGACTTACTGAATTTCGTTTTACTTTAATTCCGAATACAAATCACTTAATAATACATTGAAGTCATCAGTAGCTGTTGCAGTCAAACAAGAGTATTTTCATACAAGGACATTCACAGATTTATCTGAACACTTGACAACCTACTCACTTTTAGTACTGGTGGTAAAAATTCAACTTTTAAGCATGTAAAGCATGCCCCTTTCATTAAGAAACGAACTAGACATCGATGTTTAAAACAATGATTCTAGAAAAACAACGATGTATTGAAAACTTCGATATCGCTGTCGCAGTCCTTCTTCGCTGCTACGTGCTGGGGAGGCGGCAGCGGTGGCGACAGACACAATGGAAGGGATGTGGATGGTAGCGGCGGCAATGTGTGGGTGGGGGGGGGCGAGGGCGGGGGCGGAGAAGAGAAACTCTGGCGTGCGTGGCGAACGCCCGTTAAGACCTGGGAAGAAGAAAGCGCCACGAGCGAGCGCCCGTCTGCGTGACCGCGCGCGGGTTCGACCCCCGCCCGCGCCGTGGGAGTCGCCGGCGACAGTGGTGCCACCCCACCGACGCCGTCACGATACTCGAGTCCGGGGAGCCGGCCACGGGAAAACACCACCGAAATATGTCACTTTTACTTCTCATTTAGAAAAGTTAAAAAGTGTCCCGGCTTTTCTAATGTCTTAGGAGGCCATGGGATTATTCCTCGCATTGTGCGATGGTCGTGGTGGTTTCGGGCAACGAAAGTCGACCCGTGACAATGCGCTAGATGGTTTAAAGAGATGAAGAACCTACAGCGTATTTATATTCTCTGACATGTGCGAAATTCTAATCAGGGATAAAGCTATGTTCTTGACGTGCGAGTGACTCATATTCTAAACACGCTCGTTCCACATGCTACCACACTGATAATTCTTCTGTTGTTGGCCATGCCTTTGTCATTTGAAATTTTATAACATGATACTTTACCAAAAATGACATGGAAATAATACCACTGTAGGGTCATCGGAAACATTCTATATTGCTTTCATTAACATTCAAATGAAAAATTACGGATAATTAGTAAATAATATTTGCATATGATAAGCACTCCCACCAGAAACCGAATTGCCCGAATATTCCCATCCGAGGCCACACAAACAGCATACATTTAGTGTAATAATTCTCAACTGTTTCCTTAAAATCAGAAGTTACACAGTTCAATAAATGGCAAAATCTCACTAAAATCATTTCGGCGAAAACTGCACAGTGGACGCTACCTTGGAAACATTATCGCCGTAACGTCGAAAGTCCCTGCATTCTCGTTATCATTACCGCTTGCCTTCGCAGCCTCCACTTCCTCCACTCGTCAACCCAATTCCGACCTCCGCCAACGCCGCCGCCCTTCTCCCGCAGCCTCCCCATCGCACGCCGAAAGACTCCACGCTCCCCCGCACCGCCTAGGTAATGCCCTTGTTTGTTTCAATAAACGCGATCCGCTGTTGCCACGTTTCCCCTCCGGGCGCCCCTCTCCCGGCATGCAGATTGCTCCGCTGGCTCCGCCACCAGGCGGGGCCGCGCCCCGCGCGCTGCACAGCTCGGCAACGCCTCGCTTCGACTGTCGTTGCGGAACTTTCAATTGTAACGAGTCGAAGACTTTCCATGTTCGTGTGCACGGCCCACCTGTATAAAAATGATATGACGGATACCAAGGTGGCAGACAAGACGCCCAAGAATATAAAAATCAATAACTAGAATTAGAATGAATGTCTTACTGAGCTCAATGTGATGTATGGTCCGGTGGACGGCGAAATTTTAAGAACTGTAAGACTTTAGTCTGAAGTGATGGCTGAGTAATTTAATCGTCGAAATGGTGTGCATGTCTTGGAGGAGCTGGTGGATTTGGGAAAGATATGAGTAATGTTTGACGACCTGTGCATGTGAATTGAAGGACGTATATTGGAATATGAACGGACCGTTAAGTTGTTTTTCTGTTAATTGTTTATGTAAAACTCTTCTCGTTGTTATTGTTTTTCTTAAATATTGTTTAATGTCATAAATAAATGTTTTATTCTGATTTGAATTTTTTTTTAAAATGAAACTGTAAGTTACTTTGATTAAAGTTAATGATGTATACCATAAAATCATCGACCTTGAAATAAATAAATGCAAATTTTTGTTTTCCATTATTAGAGAAGTTATTTTACTAAAAGAAAAATTACAACCATCACATTTCGATTCTCCGATTCTCATATCGATACTGCAATGCTGATGTATCGTAATATATCGAATTTCCCGGCGTGCAAGTCCGGAGAAGTCATTTTTCAAAACTTTATAAAAAGGAAGTCTCTTTCGTCGGTGAAGGCGCATAACTTACATTTTTCTCGCAAAATTATACTTAAAAACGGCGAGAGACGTGTATGCTGACGAATACAACGTACTGTAATATTGAGATATATATTGTATTACAATGATATTGATACCAACCACCTCCTCGTACTGGCATACATACGTATGTTGTAGCAAGGCTTTCGATTTACATAAGAGAGTAAAATACAAAACTCAATTGAAAAATAATAATGTAAATTGGGACTTTATATAATTTATTAAAAATATCTTCACTAGTATTTAAAAATGAACTCGCAACTCCTTGTTTTATAATAATATATGTACTGACGCTAATCGATATTTTAAATATCGATACTTCAATAATACCGATTTCACACACTTTGTTCCACCAAATATCGGGTCGATTTAAGCATCGCGTGGGAGCAAGGCAAAATCCATCTCCTCGCTCCCCATTCATCGCGGGAAGCCATTTCTTTAATGAGCGGAAACTGTTAGGGCGTATCGCGTTTCTCACCAGAGCGATGAGTGAATATTACGTTATGAGTAGAAGGGGGGAGCGGTGCAAGGAAATTTCGAATATCGTCTCGCGTTGCTCCCTACTTCCTCCGCCAGTGGATCAGCCACAGCCTGACGGTAGTTAATTACAGGCTGTTCGACAACGGAAAGTGGGTATGAAGAGAAAGACTAACGAGAAGGGAAACTTTTACATTTACTTTAGAGTAATAAAAAAAATATTGCGTGCTCGATAATGAAGCCATAAAGATGGGGAGTACAGTTTTGAGAGTGGTTGCTGTGGGTGTTGAGATTCGGTACAGAGGAGAAGAGCTTCTCTTGGAAACCGGTCCCAACATTAATTACCTGACACAATGCCTCCCTGAAAATGCCATCA